GTAGTAGTATTAAAGAGATGAAGCATCATGTTGAAGCAACAGAAGAATCAAAGTTGCATTTTGAAGGGTCAAATATGTATATGCGACTTAAAGGTCATCCAAGAATAAGGTATAAAAGTTTTATGGTCAAAACACCGTGGACGACTAATTCAAGGAAAAGAAAAAAGGCGACATAAGTGTTGTGTAGATGAATTATTTTGTTAGGTTTTGTTGTAATTGTAATTTATATTTGATGCAGACCTTTATGATGTAATTTTTGTGGCCTGTGATAATGTTATATTGTACATTACTTTTTATCTCATAGTGATAGCATTGTATCTTCCTCCTATGTGTTGTTCGACTGATCATGTATGTTTATGTGCATTATGAGGTGGTCAGCAGATATATGGTTAAGCCAATAGTAAAACATGACTAAATGTCTATCATAATTAACCACATAATGTTTATATGTCTACAACTCTTAAAAGTGACAAATATCATGTTTGAACCAGATATCGCTCGAGCGAGATTAATGTCGCTCAAGCGAAATACAATCCGAGAATCCCAATTTTTTGCAAGTGGTGTCGCTCGAGCGATGTAAATTTCGCTTGAGCGAATGTTGACCTTGGGCTAAACGTCGATCAAAGTTAGTCGCATAATGTAACATGGGTGACCCCATTCTCAGGAGGTGGCGTCGCTCGAGCGAGATTATTTTCGCTCAAGCGAAACACAACCCGAGAATCCTCATTCTTAGGAGGTGGTGTCGCTCGAGCGATGTTAATTTCGCTTGAGCGATATTAGAAAAAAAAGATAATATGATCGATTATTTTAGGTTATAATCGATTATTAACATACGTTAGACAGCGGTTTACGGTTAACCGCTATCTAATATATATTTTTAAAAGCGGTTCAAAGTCACCGCTATCTAAGGTCTGTGGTGTGTGATTCAATAGTCGCTCAAGCGAGGATGACATTCCTTGAGCGATGGAACCTTAACCAATAGGGACCATCGGGTTCTATCTCGCTCAAGCGACGTATTGAACGCTTGAGCGAAAAGTGATTCTAATATGTGGTGAACCCACTTAAATTATTTGGCTAACTGCGTTTGAAGTTTCGTCATTGGGTATAAACTCGCTCAAGCGATAAAGTTATCGCTCGAGCGACGCAGCCTTCTAAAAGGGAGACTCTCGGGTTCTATCTCGCTCAAGCGACGTATTGAACGCTTGAGCGAAAAGTGATTCTAATAGGTGGTGAACCAACTTAAATTATTTGGCTAACTGCGTTTGACGTTTCGTCATTGGGTATAAACTCGCTCAAGCGATAAAGTTATCGCTCGAGCGACGCAGCCTTCTAAAAGGGAGACTCTCGGGTTCTATCTCGCTCAAGCGACGTATTGAACGCTTGAGCGAAAAGTGATTCTAATAGGTGGTGAACCAACTTAAATTATTTGGCTAACTGCGTTTGACGTTTCGTCATTGGGTATAAACTCGCTCAAGCGATAAAGTTATCGCTCGAGCGACGCAGCCTTCAAAAAGGGAGACTCTCGGGTTCTATCTCGCTCAAGCGACTTTTTAAACGCTTGAGCGAAAAGTGATTCTAATATGTGGTGAACCAACTTAAATTATTTGGCTAACTGCGTTTGACGTTTCGTCATTGGGTATAAATTCGCTCAAGCGATAAAGTTATCGCTCGATTGACGCAACCTTTAAACAATTGAGACTCTCGGGTTCTATCTCGCTCAAACGACGATTTGAACGCTTGAGCGAAAAGTGATTCTAATATGTGGTGAACCAACTTAAATTATTTGCTAACTGCGTGGTCACAGTTTGGGTACTTGAAGAAGTCGCTTCTGAGTGGGTGCGCTTCGAGCTTCCCAGTGGCAGAATTGTTGCACTGAAAAAGCTTCACAAAGCAGAATATGAAAATCCATCCTTTTACAAGAGCTTTTGCAACGAGACCAAGATCTTGACAGAAATTCGCCATCGTAACATCATTAAGCATTATGGCTTTTGTTTGCATAACAAGTGTATGTTTTTGGTGTATGAGTATATGGAAAGGGGAAGCTTGTTTTGCAACTTGTCTTATGATGTGGAAGCTCAAGAGCTGAATTGGAGAAAGAGGATAAATATTGTTAAAGGGATAGCCTATGGCTTGGAGTTCAGGATGATCGATCAGAATACAATTATGACCGATCAGAATAAGATATGATCGATCAGAATTGAATTATGACCGATCAGAATCAATTATGATCGATCAAAATTTAGTTATGACCGATCAGAACTCTTTTAATCGATTAAATATCGTTTCAATTGATTAAAACAACTTAGAAAATTTCTACACAGCTTTTTAATCGTTTTGCAGTATTTCAATCGATTGAATCACGAAACAATCGATTAAATCAACTTAGAAGATTTTTTTGTAAAGTGTTTTAATTGATACAAACGTTGTCGTATCAGTTAAAACAAATCTGTTAAACATTATGATCGATTATTATCCAATTATAATCGATCAGTTTTACATACATGACTTTAGATAACGGTTATTTGGTCAACCGCTATCTGAACTATACATTATGATCGATTATTATCCAATTATAATCGATCAGTTTGACATATATGACTTTAGATAGCGGTTGTTTGGCCAACCGCTATCTGAACTACATTTATTATAGCGGTTAATTTTCCAACCGCTATCTAATATATATTTTTAAAAGCGGTTCTAATTAACCGCTATCTTAGGTCGCCTCGCGCTCAAGCGACTATGTAATCGCTTGAGCGACAGTTGAACCTTTACCAAACGAAACCATCGCTTAAGCGACAAAACCTTCAATTGGTGTGAATATTTGTGTATGAAGTAGATTAAACTGTTAATTTGGCATGAATATTTTTCAATTGGTGTGTTTGGATGTAGCAGAGAGTCATGTAATATTTTTTTGCACAAAAACCTCGATAATTTGTTAGATTAATTTGTCAAATTTTGAATTGTTTTCTATAATTCTCGTGAATATATAATTCTGTCAAATTCCGTGAATATAATTCCGTGAATATATAATGTCAAATTTACATTGATGTTTATATGTCTACAACAATTAAAATTCACAAGTCATTCATTATTACAATCCTTCAATTTCATGTTAACAAATTGTTCCACCATTTCGTTGTACACAAGACACTATATAATTGCATCCTGTCTTTTCTTTCGGTGGCACTCGCACCAACAGTGGTTGACATATGACCCGATGAAGAGCATGACCTCTTGCCTTTGTCCTCGACCGGCACCGACAAAAGAAAAAGAGTGTCAAAGAGACTGAGGATTATAATGAAACATCACTATAATGCCAGCTTAAATACAATTGGACAAAGAGATCGAGTGTCAAAGATATTGTTTTATTCTAAAACAATGATCACTAACCGACCATCGACTAACTAGTTCTCTTATAATATTGCTTGATATTTGCAATGACTCTTTTATTTGAAGAAGCCATTTAAACGGAGTTTGTTCAATAGTCTGCTCGTTGGTGTTTTGTCAACTTTGAATTTATATCGCCTATATACTCGTCTCAATCTTGTGTCTTAATCTTATCTCGCACATATAACATGTATAACATACATAACATATAACAAATTGAATATTTAGTAAATCACTTTTCATAAAAAAACTATAATTAACATGCACATACCTTTTTCTCGTCAAGACGGTCTCTTTTTGCAGACATTTTTTCCCAAACTAATCCTGTTACAAATTATTAAAATTGTAACTTACAATCACAAAATAGTACAAACAAAAAAATTAAGTCCAACCATGTTACACATACTTTTGGTCAAATTGTGAATTATGCAAACATGGGTGTAAATCTTGTGCATATTATACAAAATGTTTGTCATGCAAATACAATTCTTCATTATAGCATTTCATCAAACACTTGTTGGACATTAATATAGCATCACAACTCAATTAACCCTAAACCCTACAGAATACTTTCATTACAAACCCAATCAAAGATAAACAGAAAACAAAGCAAGAATGCGCAAATACAATTCTTCATTATAGCATTTCATCAAACACTTGTTCGACATTAATATAGCATCACAACTCAATAAACCCTAAACCGTGAAAAACACCTTCATTACAAACCCAATCAAAGATAAACAGAAAAGAAAACAACAATGGAAACCCAATAAAAACTACACACAAAATCAAGCAAATGTTGTTAAACGAACACTCACCACCGCAGGGTCGCTCAAGCAACACACAGTGATGTTCAGCTCCAACGACACGGACGAAGCCAAGCGACAGGAAGTCGAGCGCCGTGAAGAGCGAGATGGAGAAATTTTACCTAAGTCGAGGGAGAAGAAGTCGAGCGAGGAAGAGCGCGAATGTGAAAAGCGAAAATCAATGACACTTCTTCAAACGTATCTTTCACTTTTTACAATAACATCCCCCATTTTTACAATATTACATCTTTACCCCTCTACAATTTTACTAATCAAACCTTTATTTTTAATTAATTTCTTTTTAACCTCGGTTGTCGAACGAATGTTTGTTTTCGATTGTCAAAGAATCGTTTTCCTTAAAATAGTAAGTTTATAAAATATCATACATTTATTATAAAAAATTAATAAGATTCTCCATGAGTGTGATTCAAATAAAATAAATATGTAGATAAAAATACATGTCTTATTAAAGAAAATAAAATTATACATACTCTCTTTTCTCTTTATTATCATATCATAAATGTTAAAATTAATAAATTACTTAATATTTTTAAAGAGAATTTTGGTAAGAATTTATAAAAATAAATATAAATATTTTATAATAGATTTTATTAAAGGATTCATAATAAAATATTTATTTATTTTTAAATAAGTGTAATCCTTTTGTTGAGCGGCAGCCAGAAAATAAGGGTGTAAGAAGCAATTAAAAATAAAAAAAGATTACGTAAGCCTTGAAGGCAACCCAAAAGCCCCTACCTTTGGCCCAGACCTGGCGCAGTTTTCATCCTTTCCTTTCTTTCTTCTCGAATGCTGAACCCTAAGTGCAGTCTTTGTCCCCGACCCGCTTACCGAATCCGACCTCTGCAACACAGTGGAACACTTCACCGTCGTGCTGTGCCTGACCAGCGACGCAACGCGAACCCGTGGCCCGTAAAGCAGCCGCAATTGCCTCTGTCACAGACTCTGCTACGCGATGTTGTGATTGCATTTCGGCTGAATCTCTCAGCATCGCTATGCCTGCAATTTGATAACACTGGATGTATGATATCTAACATATTGATGCTTTAATTTTGATCATTTTCTTTTAGCCCATTCTTTGGAAACTTCTTTTTGTATCTATAACGGTCAGAGTTCAATAAAAGTTTGTAAACTTTCCTTCTCTTTTGATATTCTTGGCCATTGACTGGGAATTAGCTTGTCAAAATGTTTAGACGATATAAAATGGAATGTTGTTTGTACATTTCTTTTCCAAAAATGTTAACTAGATTGTTTGAAGAATAAAGTGTCATACTGTTCCTGAGGTAAAAACATTATACTGACAAGTTTTATAGGATTTCATTTGTTAAAATGACCTTGATGTGAAATCTACCTTATAATTTCGTTTTGGAACCTACAGCATTGGATAGGATCTTGGATGGTAGAAAACTTGACCATGGCTCTTATCCTAGACGGCAATATGATGTTGAATTTCTAACGTCACAGGTTTTCTTATTACTGGTGTTGTGTATCTGTGACTGATTTTTGAAATTGGTTTACTTGTGATTTTTTTAGCATGTTTCTTTTTGTCCTTCTGTGAGTCTGGTGCACAATTGAAGGTTCATCAAACAAAGTTTTGTAGAATCCAACACTGATGGTTAAAATCTGTTGTCTTTTAGCTATGTGAGGAATCGACATATTAAGAGCTGATACGACTGGGAAAATATGGAATGCAACAAGGATGAGGCAGCAAGGGCCAAAGATATAGCAGAGAGGAAATTTTTTGATAAAGAATATGCTGGTGCGAAAAAGTTTGCTCTCAAGGCTCTAAATCTGTTTCCTACACTGGAGGGTCTTTCTCAGTTTCTAACAACTCTTGATATTTATATCTCTGCTGAGAATAAAATAAATGGAGAAATGGATTGGTATGGTATACTTGGAGTGTATCCATTTGCTGATGAAGAGACAGTTAGGAAGCAGTACAGAAAGCTGGCTCTCAATCTTCACCCTGACAAAAACAAGTCTCCAGGTGCAGAAGGTGCATTTAAGCTTGTTTCAGAGGCTTGGAGTTTACTGTCAGACAAGGTCAAAAGATTAGCATATAATCAAAACAGGAGATTGGAAGGATTTCAGCATAATGCTCCCAACCATGTTGGGACACAATCAGAAGCACCCAGTTCAAATGGTTTTTATAATCTTAACAAGAATACTACTTCAAGTGCGAGAACTGGAAAAAATAATACTCGGGCACGTCCAACCTCCATTCCTCCACATAAAAATGCTACCTTTTGGACTATCTGTAGTGGTTGCCAGACACATTATGAGTATCTCAGGATATATTTGAATCAAACCCTTTTATGTCCCAATTGCAAACAAGCTTTTGTGGCTGTAGAGAAGGCTCCACCTACCAATCTTTTTGAATCCTCTAATTGGTCTTCTCAGCAAGATCCTCATAAGTCTTCTTGGCAGCACTCCAATGTTGGAAGGAGTGACCCTGTGAATCCAGGAAGAACTAGTACAGTTTCGCACAATTTACATTCCAGCAGTCCTTTGGGCACATCTTTTAATAACACAAATTTCCAGTGGGGTCCTCACTCACAAAAGGGTGGTTTTGTTAGAAAAGATGGATCATCAGCTTCTGCTTCAAATGTTAAGCAAAAGTCAAGTGACTCAAGAAGAGAATGCGAGCAAGGCGAGAAACCTTTGAAGAAAATGAGGGCAGGTGATACGCACATGTATAATACAAATCACATGACCATGAGTGATGGATCAAGCAGTTTGGGCCGTTTTTATGAATCAGGAAAAGCTAAGCATTACAGCATGAGAGAGTTGTCACTGTTTGAATTACGGAATATGTTGATTGCCAAGGCCCAGATTGAAATTCGCCATAAACTTCAAGATTGGCGATCAACGCCCCAAGCTAAGATTACAAACAAGGACAAAGGAAACATGAGACAGAGAAGCACATTCTATGACAAAACATGTCCTGAGAAGCATGGAGGTTCTGCACTTAATGGTAACCGACATGTTGACAGTGATTCTATCGTAGTCAAATCTGATGATACTGTAAAGGAAAAACCAGCCTTTGTTACAATCAACGTTCCAGATCCTGATTTTCACAATTTTGACTTGGATAGAACTGAAAATTCTTTTGGGGAGGACCAGGTATGGGCTGCTTATGATGATGACGATGGAATGCCTCGCTATTATGCTAGAATACACAAGGTGATTTCTACAAAACCATTTAGAATGAGGATCAGTTGGCTTAACTCTCGAAGCAATGACGAATTGGGCCCAATAGATTGGGTAGGTTCTGGTTTTTATAAAACCTGTGGGGATTTCAGGACTGGCAGGCATGAATTGACCGATTCTTTAAATTCCTTTTCACATAAGGTAAGGTGGACAAAGGGCACCAGAGGAGTTGTTCGCATCTTTCCTGGCAAGGGGGATGTCTGGGCTCTCTATAGAAACTGGTCTCCTGATTGGAATGAAAATACTCCAGATGAAGTGATACACAAGTATGATATGGTGGAAGTGCTTGAAGATTCCAATGAAGAAGGTGTATTGGTCACACCACTTGTTAAAGTTGATGGTTTTAGGACAGTGTTTCACAGGCACAGCCATGGTCAGGCAAGAAAAGTTCCTAAAGTGGAGTTGTTTAGATTCTCTCATCAGGTTCCTAATTACTTACTTACTGGGCAAGAAGCTCATAATGCTCCAAAGGGCTGTCAAGATTTGGATCCAGCAGCTACTCCTTTAGACCTCCTTCAGACAACAGATGAAGCTAACGAGGAATTGGATAATGTTGGAAAATCGAAGGAAGACACTTTTCTCGGATCACCTATAAAACATGCTGCTGATTAGGGAGAATGCTTCAAAACCTTAATAGAGCAGATATGTTAGACGAGGATAGTAAACAAGTAAAGTGTGATAGATGACCCTGCACAGTACAGAAAAGTAATGTTACTGGTGATGCAAAATATGCTTTAGAAATTAAATTCATGATTGGTGAAAATGTTCTATCATAGGTTACTCTTCATTTTGTAAGCCTGACCCGACAATTTATTTACGAGTGCTTTTGGATGGAAGGGATTAACAGCATTTCGGTTTTGCTGTATAATTTTGAGACTTGTTATTCATGTAGGTTCTGGTTACTCAACACTCAAACGAAGTTTCCATCTTGGAAAAGCTAAAATGATTAATTAGACTATTGTTCTTGCAACTTGTGCTCGTCTTATGTTTATTTTTGTTTTCGAGTTGAGGGGGTATGCCCATTCTCTCTTATATGTTTGTCTACTTGGAAAGGATTCAGTATTTGCTTGCTGTTTGATACTGAATTGAACGATGTTACCTGATCTATGTCGCTCGTCCTGGTGGAAGATGAATTTTTCTTTGAGAAAATAAAACCTGTTATCTGTATATTTCAGTGGCTGATGAAAAAAATCGATTAAAACTTGTTCAGCCAGCTAGCATAGATCCTTCATATTGTTTTCAACAAACATACAGTTGTTGAAAAAAAAATATATTTAATATGTTTTTGCATAGTTTTACTTTGAAATTTCAAATTTCAGTGTTAAATAGGGTTATAGATACTTTCGGTGTATTATGTTTGAAAAGAACTTATCGTCTTTATCATTTTTTGTTTTTTTTTTCAAATTTAATGATAAAAAATATTTTTTAGTAGAAAAATTAGATTTTAAAAAATAAAAATAATAGTTTTTTATTTTATTTATATATAAAATGTTTTAAAATGAAAAAAAAATGTTGTTTTCAATTTTAAAATTTTGAACTAAAATATTTACATAAATAAGTCATGGTAAATAGTCATCCGATCCAAAAATATAAAATTTTAATCAATTTTTTTTAATTCATTTTAAACATACAAAATTATATTTCTTAAAGATTTTGTTTAAAGTTTTATTATATTTTATTTATAATATATATTAAAAGAAATTAAAATTACAAATACCATCATAATGTTGTTATAAAATATCTTTCTATTTAAGAACTTTTTGTCATAAAATATTTAATATTTTTTTAAAATTATTTTAATATTTTACGGTAACAAAATCTATAAAATTGATGATTGATTTTATTTGGCTTGGATTTTATGTTAAACTAAAATTAAACTAAATTAATTATATTTAAATTGTATGGATAATGTAATTGATTATTTGTTAAAAAAAGTTAAATTAATGAGTCGCTAACATCTTTAGAAGTGATTAAGGAAGTATAGCAATAAGAATGAATAGTGAATCATGAAATTATCCAAAAATTATATTAATTTTTAATTATAAATCACTTTTTTTAATAGAAAGTAAACTTAGTGTTTTTAAAAGATTAAAAAAAATAGAAATTGTTCTTCTACCTTTTTATAATGTTTGTTTTTCATGATCGAATTTACTAGAAGTTTTTTTTTTTAATTGTAACATATTATTTGTATTTATTTTTTTAATGTAATCTCGTCAAGTTTACTATCCGAACAAAAGATATTTTAAAGAAAATATTAAATAAATAATAAAGCAATGAATATTCAAATCATATTGAAATAAAAAAATTCATTTCAATGTTCAAAGTACGTTTTTATGGTCTTTTATCTAAACATTTGTTTTTATTTTTAATGCATATCCTATCATTGCATGTTGAAAACAACATAGAATGTTTGAAAAATAATATTAAATAAATAACAGACAGATATCAAATTAGATTGAATTATAAAGATTAACCCTCGAAGATATTGAAATATAAAACAGTATGCTTTATTTGTAGTTAACATAACTGTTTTATTATGTTAACCTTAGATTCTTAATCAATTTGACAAATTCTTTACTGGTCGAGAAATGTTTCTATTATTAAGAATTAGTCGAGAAATGTTTCTATTATTAAGAATTAGTCGAGAAATGTTTCTATTATTAAGAATTAACGCACTTGTTAAACTAATGAACATATTTATTACTTAGTATTTGTTCGATAAATATCTCCATATTAATTTTTAGAAGAAAAAATAAACTCATCCTTCAGTAAAAAATAATTTACAAATTTTTTCTCATAAATTTTTATTTTTAACTTTAACTTGTACATAAACTAATTTATGAAAAAAGCAACTTCATCTTTTTCTTCATATTTATCCTGTTGAAACATTCTCTGGTCACATACCAACAAGATTAAAATAATGCATATACCGCATTTATTAGATCAGAACAAAAATACCAACTGGATGCCTCTACAAACAAAAACTTGAAAATATATACGTACACACGCTGAAAAGAGTTATAAGAAGAACACGACTCAAAAATCCAACACAATAGTGACTTACATAAGAAAACTAATGAATAAACAAATCGCTTGTTGACATTCGCATCAGACCATCATGCATGTGCTGATCTCAGTTCATTCAACTTGACGCCATATATCCAACACATGCGTATGTGATTTTCCATTGTCTACTCATGCTGAGCACTAGCTGATACTGCTTTGTCAGGTTTAGCTACGTCTTCTTTAGGTTTATCAAGGTCTGCTTTGTCAGGTTTAGCTACGTCTTGTTTGGGACGTTTAGCTAAGTCCTCCTTGTCATGATGGAAGCGCACCACAATGCATGTAATGTTATCTGCACTCCCACGGGCAAATGCTGCTTCTGTTAACTTCCGAGCAGCTGCCTCAGGCTCCTCTTCTGTGCGCGCAAGAGAAACAGCATCCTGAACATACACAGAATATCAAACAACACCTGAACTAAGTACGAGCAAATTTAATATGTCGTATCTAACTGAATATTGAAACACTGCATCAGGCACCTGGAGAATTGGAAGGCACTACGTAGTGTCACAGGTCTATTTCATTCCTACTACTACTCTTAGTCCCAAACAAACATAACTACATTTTCTTTGGTACATAAATTAAACCTCTGCAAATATAAAATAATGTCAACGGCCCCCTATGGTCTATATTGAGCTACTTTCCATGGAGCATAGCATGTCCAAGACAGAAGTAGAACTTTAGAAGTCACAACTGCAAACAGACAATCCCTCACCAGATCCCTCCCCCAAAGTCCAAGCACGTGTTTTTTTCTTTCCCTTCCAGACTCCCAACTTATAGTTACTTAATGATAAGTAATCTTTTCTAGTCCACTGAACACTACTCTTGAAGCCAGACACATTTGATGAGAGATTCGGGGAAGGATGACATTATTCCACAGGATAAAACATTGGACCTTTATGTTCATCACTTTTCTTCTTTCTTTTACTGGTTTTATAGACTAAAAGGACAATCCGCTACTGCCTGACTACGAAATGAATATGAGGCATAAAAGATGCACATCTAACATAAATAAACTGCATGACTAAGGAAGGCAAAGCTTACATCATTCTGTACTACATCCCAGAGTCCATCACTGGCAAGAATAAGCAGTTCAATTTGTTCATCTATCTGCTGGTCCTGAAAGCATATGAAAAGATAAATTAAGGTAGTGTGCTACAATGGGACACACAACCATAAGTAATACATGCAACATATCTTGTGCTTCCAAAAGATGGAAAGCATCAGAGGACATGATTCCTTTAAAAAAAGGGAGTTTTCGTACTAAAAGGACAACTTTATACAGCTTCAACAAAATATCATGTTAAGTTTACTAGTCCGAACTAAACCTTCAAGATAACTTGGTTAAAAAAATTAACCTATCCACATGAATTTAGTGAGCTTTTGAAATGTCTACTAACTTCAGACCACTAAGTAGATAGACAGACTATAACCTTACGTACTGATAGTCTTTAGGCCCTCTATAGTTTGGGTTTGGTTAGAATATCTCAGTTAATCTTCGAAAGATATTGAGGAATTCCTTATATATCATATCGAGAAAATAATCCCAGACAGTTGCTACTTTATTTCATTATGTTTCGCATTTTGTTTCCTTGTGAGGTTTGATTGGAATTTAAGGAAGAAATTGAGACTCAATATTACGATGAGTTATAATGTAATTATGTTCTCAGAACCTATTGGAAAACATCAAGTCTCACATTGGTCAGTACTCAAATATAGTATATAAGTGGAGGACAACCCTTAGCTTACAAGTTGGTTCTTTACGATTAGGCCCAAATTAACGTTCTAGAATAGTATCAAATATATCTTAAATTGGTTCTCTAGGAAATTCATGGGCGAGGATGATCCCCCGTGCATTCTTTAAATGGAAAACATCTGAGTAGAAAAGATCAAGGGTAAAGAATAGGAGAGAGAAAACAACCCCAAACATAAAGGCCTGAAACTGATGAGGTGATGAAGGTTTCCTATAATTACATGGATAAGCTAAGATATCAATCAAACTCTTAGCCTTTTCTCACATTTTTACTCTTAAATATAGCCAAGGATACTCTTCAAACTTCTGAAAGGACGACACGACAGTTGAATCTGTTTGAACTACGCCAGAAAAATGTACAGCATAGACCATAAACACAAGAAATACATGGGTGTACAAAGTTTGAAATGTCACAACACAGAAATGAACTGTGGCCAAAATATTGGCAATTAGTTAAAAATGTTTTGCTGACTGAAGAGGAATAAATAATAGGGCTGGGCATAATTTTTCCACCCGTGAAAACCGACCCCAATCCGTAAAAAAATTTGAATGACGGGTGAATTTAATCAGGTGACAAATTTTTGGGTAAATAAAGTTGGCTTTCATAAGATAAAAAACGGATGATTCAGTTTTAATTTTTAAAATCCATGGGTATTCAACCTGACCAACAAAAGTCTTTACCTTCGTTTTTTCTGTCATGGTGAAAAGCAATTTGGACATAGTCAGAAAATAATGGAGTTATTGAAGAAGAGAAAAACAGTTTGAGAGTTTGTTGGTTGCTTCTTTTTAATGGGTAAACAATATAAAAAACTGAGGCTTTTGCTTCTATTCCAAAAACCAGTTGAAAGAATACAGGGATGATCTCAGGGGAGACCTTCTGAGACTCTAAACTAATGCAAGGAACACATACGTTAACAAAAAGTAATGGTGTGCTGACACAGTGAGTGAATGGGCAGTATCCGAAATAGGAAGAAATATACTCCAAAATGAGTACCCAGGTTAGTATAGGAAGAGTGGTTTGAGATCACGGGACCATTTGGATTGTACTTTTCATGACAAACACAAACCCTCTCCTCTCGCTGAAGGATCTTTGCAAATAACTGTGGAGGCCAGTCTTGCTGTCATAGTTCCACTCATGTCTAGCTCAATTTGAAAAAACTGAATATGCCGAGAAGTCCAGTAACCCACTTAATCCAAAGCTACCCGCTTAATCCGATTGAAAAAAATCGTCGAATAGGATATTATAACATAATATTCGATTTAAATTGGATTAGTCATGTGAAGACCAAACCTTACCATATCCCATCGATACTCAGCCCTAATGAATAATAATGGAAAGACAACTAAGAAAGAGAGATGACTAATTCAAGAGAAAGATCGTGAAAATAAAATAGAACTCCACTCACTCCAAATTGTAGGAAGTCTGGCAACCAAGTCACAGTTTCACAGAGTAATGACTAATTTGAAAGAATCACGAAAATTAAGTAGAACTCAAAATCTTATGGAGACAGCTCGTTGAGTAGTGAAGGGAAAGGTCACGGAGGATAATAACACTTTGATTAGAGTTTTAAGACTTGAGGGAAGATATGGAACAAATAAAGACTGAATAATATTATTCTCTTGATATTGAGATTATGTTCATATTTCATAAAACTTAAAAAAGAAAATCCTAAAATGGGAAACAAGAAAACTGATTTGAAGAGATAATCTTTAAGATACCCAAAAATATTTTAAGATACAATCTAGATCATAGTTATTGTTGGAGATCTCACATCAATAATCAAATTATATCATACAAGTGGGATGCAAATCTTTCCTTTTAAGTCAGTTTTGTAGAGTTGAGTTAGGTTTAAATCCATATTCTAAGTTGGTATTAGATAGGACGTATCCTGTCACTCGCTATGGAACTACTATCAAACCAAAAACATATATCTACCTTCATGTTCAAGATGTCCAATCCAAGATACAAAAGAGGGTGTTAAAGATCACAGATCAATTGAATACATATATTAATAAGATGCAAACTTCATCGTCTAAGTCAATTTTTTATGGTCGAGTTAGACTTAAACCCACATTCTAAGAGCTAGCAACCTCAAATGGTGGTGCTTACTACATAGCAGCCAACACTGAAATACTATAGTTAGATTGAAGCATGCAAGATGGCTGATATTTTGAGTATAACAATGAAAGGAAAATAATTTATACTACACAAATACATAAAAAAATAAAAAAAATTAGGATAAACAACGTCACAAATTAAACACTCAATCACCATCAATCTATAATAAATAAACAGTAATGAAAGCAATTTTTAAAATGATGGTCGAATTCATGGTAAACAAGTCATAGTTTACACACATACTCACCGTCAGTCTAGGAGTAATAAGAGCCTAGATGAACTCGAAAAAAATGAAAGAGGGTGGTAAAAAGTAAGAAATTCATGATAAATAATGTCACAATTTATACACACAATCGTCATCTACAGTCAGTAAACATAGTAATGAAAGCAAAAAAATAAAGATGATGATAATGCAATTCATAATAAATAACAAGTCATATTTTTCATATACTTACCTTAAGTCTAGGAGCAATAAGAGTTTAGTGATGAACTGAGAACTGACAGATGGTAGTGAAATTAATAAAAAAAGAATATATACATAAAACTTAGCAAAATATGAATGGGAAGTTTGAAGGAAGATGAAAAAGTGGAACACATGAAAAAATGGTCCTACACAGTATGAAGGAAAGGAGGTCACTTTGTGTTTTCTCACTAGCTGCAGCTGTGTTATTCCCCTTCCCCACACCTTCAGTGCCATGGAAAGGTTGCTGGTTTCAGATCTTAGGGTCACAGTTCAAGTAGAGGAAACGGCATATCCACTCATGAGACTAAGCTGGAATTTCATGCAATGTGTTGTTCATATTTTTTATTCTCTATCTAATGGATACCATCTTTCTCATGATTTGATATACTTCACTACTTTAGTGAATAATCAACATGATAAAAAAAGGATCTTCCTATTCACAAGTAAACGCCATTTACTAACTTCTAACTCAATAGGTATTAAAGTTTGATACGTAATTTTGTAATATGACTATGCTTATATTATACTAATTAAAATAGAGTACTTAATTGGCAGCTTGAAAATTTGGGTCAAGACCCACCTGGATCTCAGGTTCTGCTACAACAAACTGCTTCAACATACGGTTACCAAAGGCACGAGACATTGCTAGTACCCCTCCTACCCTCCAAGTACCTGATCAGCAAAATAAACAAAGGTAAATATCACCTGCCCAAATTAATCATCCAACCTTTGGATGTTTGGCCATGTTTCAAGGTAAAGATATAAAGCATATTATTCCATAAGTTCAGCACATGGATACTACTTGCATAAATCAATCTAATGCAATACTACACAAGTCACACCTACTTGAACTAAATTATTTGTTTTGTGAAACATGGAACAAGCAATACAAAAGCTTAGTAGGTTTCATCCACTTTATTACTGTCCTTGTGTCCCGTAACACATCAATGCATGATAGTAGAAATTGTGATTTTATTCATGACATCACATAGAATTTTGGAGGCACCCAGAAATCCTATCATGCTCAGAAAACCGAGAGATCATGCAGGATTACATGTTGTCAAACAATCCAACCATGCTGACCAGAAAGTCCATTTGTGACAAAACCCCAAAAATCAACCCAATTTTAAAGGCTCGGCATGTAAGCCCTATTTCTTCTTCACATTTTGATTTTTCTCCTTTGCAGTCACACCTTGCACCCTCTTGTGCGGTTCTGCTACAAACAAGACTTGGTGATGCCAATTTGATCTCTTCCCTGGTGATGTTTGCTCTGTACTGTTAGGAGACTTCCTGATCGGGGTGCTATCTCTCGTATCAGTTTTTTTTCTGCTGTTCTCTAGGTGCTGGTTCAGCTCAGTTTTTAATCAACTTATAGTCATTTGGATACTGGATTGGTTTTCTATCCTTCCTGCTTCTCTATGCTGGTGCAGGTTGGACTGGGGTTTTGGTTCTGACACTGTTTTGCAGCCCTGAATAATCAGCTAGAGTAAAGAGATCTCCAGTTAGATTGTCTTCTTTTGGTGTTTTGTGTTTAATATGGTGAATTCCTTCTATATCCATATTTGGAGTTATATTGCAACTTTAGCTAATGTTCTGAGTTTGTGGCTTATATCATATGTGACCTTATCCGTTTTCAATTAAAGTTTAAACTAACTGTTAGTAGCAATTTAAAGTCTATTTTTCTTATTTTTGCATTTTAGGTAGGAAAATACAGTCCATATATATTACACAACTTAAGAGTTCCCCTTCACTTTTCAATCCAATCCAATCCTAGGTATGACTATTATGTTATATTGATGTGATTAATGACTTATATTTTGTTCAAAATTTGCAAAAAGAAAATTTAATAAAAATATTGAATTAATGAATTTCTGTAACTGCCTGTACTCATATGGGATTTAATTAGAGGTAACAAACATTTTACAGATAAGTGGGAAAATATTTGGCATATCCATGAGCCGGAACATAATTCCATGCATATTATTGTTTCAAGTTGCCAACATAACCGATGATCAAAAGGATCGAAGATAGAGTCAACTCAAGCTTCCAATGTCACCATTGAATTACATCAAACCTCAATTGCAGCCAAAGATAACATGGGAAACGACCCATCACCATTTTATGGTGCACCAAACGAGTCAGAAGCAGAACATCAACTGCAGAACGGTCTAATGAGGCCATTTATATGATTGAAATATAGTATCTCACCTGCCCACATGACAACACCACCGGCATTCTCAATTCTCTTCCGCTCATCACTTCTATTTGGCTTATGATCCTCAGAGAGAGCAATTGCTGCCAAAAGAGAAACAATTAGTTCAAGATGTTGCTATCTTGCAAAATGTATTCCAGTGGAACTATATAGGAGAATATTTATCATATAATCAGACAAGAACTCTTGTTAAAATGCTGCATCTTCCACATGATCTCTATATTTACATTATCATGCAGCTTCCCCCCAACATCACATCATTAAGATAAAACACTTCTTTTAATTTAAAAAATGATTAAGATAATACCAAATACTACATCAGAATTTATAAAGGATATGACAACTTAAACTTTACAATAGTAAGAGTTAATTAATAATGAATTTAAACTGAAGATATCATAAAATAGTAGGTTGCTACTTTACCTTTACCAGCTTTGGATACTATGGTCCTAGAATCTCCAACATTAGCTACAAAAAGATGGTTATCAACCAAGACAGCTGTAGAAGCTGTAGATCCATCATCCCTGTAGGTGTCTTTTTCAGAATCCAGAAAATTAGCATCAGTCTGTTTATAAGTTTCACCTGCAAGCACGCTGAGGTTACTATAATTGCAAAAACTGATGATGGAAGATCAAAAGCATTCCTTGCAGGAACACAGACCCCGTAAGGAAATATGACAAACATGTGATGGATGAGCATCAAACACTTTCAACAATGTCGAAACACACAAGAAAGCATTAACAAATTATAAACAACATGACATTCATGATGAAGTGTGAGAGAAAGCAAACACACTTATAGCCAATTTGGCATCTGTCAAAAATTTTGGATGCTTCAAGAGATTATCAAAGAGATGCTCCTTTAAATACTCAGCAGCTCGGGAACCACCATGACCTGTATGGAATTTTAAAAATTTATTCGCATGTTACCATAACTGCATAACAGGTGAACACATGCACAATTACTGATATCAACAATTTTTCTCCCATGCAATCTAATAGAAACTCTTACCATCAAATATTCCAAATAAGCATATTGATTTTCCGCCAATCTTCAATGTCTTAATATCATAAAAATCCTCCATCGTCACTCTCTTCCCCCTAAAACTTGAATACCCACAGCTAAGTCTTCCATCTTCACTGCCAAATAAAAATTGATGAAATAAGTAACATTGGTCACAATAGAAATCAGCAAAGTACAACAACATGCAACACAAATCCAGTCAATCAAGCAAATTAAACTCTTCATCAATGTCATTCTTCCAATGCAAGCCCTAAGTAATATTTCATATTGATTTGTGTTATAGTATGGATTAATGAAGATGTATTCAAGTAGGGAAAATTACAAGGATTAGAATGAAATAATATGAATTTAATTCCTTCATTGAATGTTATTAGAATCCAAGCTTCCACCAGTATTACCTTCCACAAAAAGAACTTGACCTTTTAAGGGAGGTTTACCTAAACTATATTGAGGCATACGGATATAGCTCAATTTATGGTTTCTTATTACTTTCATTGCTGTCCTCATTCTTTGTTTCCCGGTCTCCACCTTGTAGGAATAAGAATATTGGTCGTTGTTTTTATTATGCAATAAGAAATAAGGTTCAATAAGCAAGGCATAAGCCAGCACATGAACCAAATAGAACCCTCAGAAATGACCATCCATGGTATGCTTTTTAAGATTGTACCACACCTTCCTAATCACTTTGCTACAAATAAAATACTAGTTCACCGACTTTGATATATTGGGTCTTCAAAAATTCATTTATTAGGCCTTTGAAAATCCTGCTGTCAACATTAAAGATTATTTTGGCAGTGATATCACCTTAAAATCCCCTCTCGATTTTAAAATATCCCCATTATGTTGTATACACTAAAATAACTGGCAATCACTTTTTTTGTTAAGTTGAGGTAGCTAAGAATAATTTTCCTTACAAGGCCAAACAAATTCCAGATAACCCGTCCCAAATATCAATATGACTCTTTCAAATCATAGTTCTCTTCAAATCTAAAATCTATAATCCAAGTTAGAGGCTGCAGGAACAACTCCTAACTTATAAATGCTTAACTCCAACGGGCAATGGGGATGTTTAAACATAGTACCGATGCAACAAAGTAACGATCCCATCTATGGGATCAGAACAGATATATTCCCTTTTCAACGCATCAGCACAAGTTGAAAGCAAGTTGTGAGAATCATATTCACCTTTTCCACCCTCCACTGCCAAACCGACCATCATCATCTTTCTCAGGCATCATATCAATAATAGGTGCGGCCCTTGACACAGAACCCGTATCAACCATCATCCCTGTGTTTGTGTTATATTCACGAATCGGCCAATAAGAAAAACCCCGAACTAACCGCAAACTCCTCCCAAATCCGTTGATTTTCACTCTGTTGGCAAAGGTTCCAGCATGAACAACCACAGACCTTACACCACTCCTGCATACCATCTAACCGATATACCTAGCAAATCACACAAAAACACATAAATTCTCTCAAATCCCATCATCAATAAATGAACTCTGACATAAAGCAAACAGAGACAAAGACTATTAAAGTGGAAAAAAAAAAATTCCCAAATCCACAGACCACACCGAATATTCATAATCATCGTCATTATTAATCAATATAATTATCTAATATAAAAAGTAGGAGGATCAACACCTTTGTTTTTTAATATTGAACTCTCTAAGCTACTCTAACCATCGATTCAAAAAGTAATCTCAACGCAAAATTAGGAGAGAATTGTGGAATCAATGGTTGAATGTTCGAATTGGGATCCGATAGGAAGCGGATCGGCTAGAAAACATGTCAGGAATTCGAATCCGGATCCAGTAAAGGTTGGGGGAAGAAGCAAAGCATCTACAGATAGTATCTGTTGGGAATCTAGAACGAGATAGAAACCCTAGAGAGAGAAATAGATGTTAGAAGAGAAGCATAGCGAGATTCGTCAAAAGCGACAGAGGGAAAAGGAGAGGAGAGGGTAATAAGAGAGAAAGAAACATGAGAAATATCGCAACGTGGAACTCTCACAAGTACTCATATTATACTTCTCTTTTGGCATCAAATTAGTCACTGACACCTACTATATCATTTTTCTATCAATAAGTACTTACTCCATAATATTATTATACTTCTACGTCCTATTATTTTATTTTATTTTTTAATTTCACTCAAAATCATGTGTATTCTCCTCTCCAATCCTTCAAATAAACCAACACTATATTTCCTTTTGTTTCGATACGTTAAATTTTGTATAACTCAAAATTCAACTTTAAAAAAAATTCTATATATAACTATATATATATATATATATATATATATATTAACACAATTTAAAATATTTTTAAAAAATAAATTAATTAAAATTTTAAAACGAATAACATATCCGAAATAATAAGAGGAACACTTGTCATTCCGAAATGCAACTCTTTCAATGTTACATTAACACAGTGGAATATCTGACTTTGTTAAATGGATTAGTTTAAAAAGAAAAAAATTGGGTATACCCTTCGTTTATATAGCACAAGAAGAGTGCGTGTATCATCTTTTTATTTGATTGGTCATTATGAAGCTTATTATAGTTTGTTTATTTATTTATATTGTTTGAGACTCAGTTACTTCTGAATTTTTTTTTTAATTAATTAATTACATTAGTTTCTTCGTATGATCCTCTGACAGATAATTATATATCTTTTTTTCACTAATTAGTAATTAGAGAAATAATTTAATTATTATTTTTATCACATATTAGAATTTCTTATCACTCTTAAGACATTTTTAATAAAAGTAATTTATATAAATTCTTTTCATCTAAAAAAATATAAAATATAAATTTATTATACTATATTATACTTAAATAATTTATTATTAATTTTACTCTAATAAAATTATTCTAAAGAAATTTTAATAAGTTGTTTGATAAAGAAAATAATAAAAAAATTTACAATTTATCATAATTTCAAACTGTTTTACTTAAATATTTTATTAAGAAACTCTTATTAAATATATATATATATATATATATATATATATATATATATATATATATATATATCGTGCATACATATAGTTATTAATACGAAAAAATCTAATAAACATTATTATTATTATTATTATTATTATTATTATTATTATTATTATTATTGTTGTTGTTGTTATTTTATAAACATTCTATAATCTTTCATCTTTTCAATATACCTTTTCCCATTAAATTGAAGTAAAACGACTAAACCTTTTTATAAAATATAACTTTTACAATTTTATGGTACTTTCTTTTAAAAGAAATATTATTATTATTATTATATAAAAAAAATTCTCCGTTTCAAGACATATTTTTTTAGCACTTGCAAATTTTTTTCCTAAAAAATCAAATTTGTTAATTATAAAACTTACATAAAGTATTTCTTATAAAATAATTTAAAATATGAATTTTAAGTTAGAACATCCTACTATCAATAAGTATTATATGTAAAAAAAAAAAACTTAAATGAACTTTTTGTTTTCATAAAAACTACTTGAATCATTATTTGTTTATCAACATCTTTTGTTTTAAAAATAAGTTAAAACTAACTATTACTTTTTTTTCTGCATTTATATACAAAAATTCTTATGCATAATGATAGGATAACTAAAAAGTAAATCAAATGTCTTCCTTGATATTTATATAGGAAATCAAGTGTTTTTTTTTTTTAAGTGTATTTAATTGAATAAATATTAAGTGACACTTTTTCTTTAGTTCTTTAAGGTCTCACTTGAAGTTTCTCCAAGAATTTAGGTTTGGAGTAAATTTCCGTAATCATTTCCTTACTTGAATTTTCAATTCAAGACTATTTTTTCCACCGTATCTTGCATACACAATCATCCCTCCCACCTTTTTTAAGGGAGTCTTTCATCACTTCACTTATGGTATTTTTGTTGTGTCCAAAGTGTGGTATCCTCCAAAGTCTCATATTGGGCAGTTGAATAAGGGAGATGATAGACTACTACTATAAATAAGGAGTAATAGTTTGAGTCAACTTACCACAACAATATTAGTCTAACGGTGTATTAGGGACTTGAGTTATTGTGTGTTAGAGAGATTTTACAGTTTTTCCAGGCAAAAATTGTATGTAAAGGTTTGTAATTTTTCAGTCTTAAAAATTGCACGTTAAGTAATAAAATATTATTGAGTGTGTTCGTGGATGTTGGCCTTGAGGTGTTGAACCACATTAAAATATTTTGTGTGCTTTTAATTGTTTCACTACAAGAAAGTTATTAATTACCGACGGATATTTACCATCAAATATGTAGTCGTCGAAAAATGATTGATTACTGACAGAAATTATCGACAGATTTAAAATAGTTGTAAAATTTGGTCTTACCAACAAATATATTCGTTGGTAAATGAACAATTAATTATTGACGGATATATCAGTCATCGGTAAATGAACAATTAATTATTGACGAATATATTCATCGAGTAAATTGACAATTTTGATAAATGAATAATTAGTTACCGATGGACATTACCAACGGATTTAAAGTATATTTTTAAAAATTAACATTAAATTAAAAAAATTAAATATTTAAAATTATATAATAATTACTTAATTTTAAATATATTATAATAAATTAATTATTCACCTAATTAAAAAATTAATTACTTTTTTTATTTAATAATTTAATTTAATCATAATTAGATTAATTTATAATAATTTGTTAAATTAAATAATTTTAAAAATAAATATTTAAGTATTTTTAATATTGAAAAAATTATTTTAATATAAGAATTTTAATTAAATAATAGAAGATAAAAAGAATAAATTAAAATAAAATAAAAAGAAAAAAATAGTTTTATATCATTATATAAATAAATTATAAATATTATATTCTATCATTAAATTACAAACCCATATAAAGAGACACACTCACAAATTTAGCATCAAAATTTTGAAAACTCACTTGACACATTTTCATCTTCGAGCGCGCCTCACATCCAATATATAAATATATCAAAAAATATAAATATATTTATATTTATATATTTTATATTTATATATTTACATGGATATACATTTATTTGTATATAAATATAGTTTATTTGTAAATTATTATTAGAAAATCTTAGTAGCTTAGTGGTTGGAGTATCAACCTCCAACTCTAATGAGTTTGAATCCTGTCAATCATAATTCTCTTAATTGAGTAATAATTCAAATAAATATAATAAATAGAGGGAGACGAACCTCTAGATAAATAAATTTTCTTAATTGAATTTTTAAAAAATAATAAAATACCTATTTACCGATGGATTTTTTTCAGTCGAAATTTTAATTTTTCTTGTAGTGTTTGTAGTGGGTGTATGCTTCCGCTGGTTGAGTTTTGTGTGCATGCGTTCTTTTCCCTTCTGGTACCCAACAGTGGTATCAAAGCCGAAGGTTGATCGGCAATGAGTTAGAGTGATAGTCTTTGAATAGAAATCGATAGTGGGTTAGAGTGATAGTCTTTGTATCAAAAGTCTTCCTGACAGAGTGGGTCAGGTAAGCGTGTCTCGTTGGAGTGAAATGACGGTACATGGAAGGACCACCAGTGTGTCTGTGCTAGAGAGGAAGAGAAGTAGTGTGCCTTAGAAGAAGAGTACATTGTTACTAATTGTCATGATAATGAGGAAAAGAAGCAGTGTGCCTTAGAAGAAGAGTACATTCTGCTAGTTGTAATGATGATGAGGAAGAGAAGCAGTGTACCTTATAAGAATAATACATTGTTGCTAGTTGTCACGATGATGTGTGAGACTCTGGATGAAGGGAGGATATGTTGTGCCCAAAGTGTGTGGGTATCCTCCAAAGTCCTACATTGGGCAGTTGAAGAAAGGAGGTGGTAGATTACTACTATAAATAAGGGGTGATAGTTTGGATCTACTCACTACAACAATACTAGTCTAACGGTGTATTAGGGACTTTGGTTGTTGTGTGTCAGAGAGGGTTTACAGGTTTTCCGGGCAAAAATTGTATGTAAGAGTTTGTAATTTTTCAGTTCTAAAAATTGCACATTGAGTAATAAAATATTGTTAAGTGTGTTCGTGGATATAGGTCTTGAGGTGCTGAACTATGTTAAAATATTTTGTGTGCTTTTAATTGTTTGTTGTGGGTCACTATAAAAAAATCGCATATTTCCGACGAAATTTTACCGACGAATTTGTAATCGTTGGAAAATGAGTTATTACCGACGGATATAAAACATTTGTGAATTTGGTTTTTCTGACGGATATATTCGTCGATAAATTAATAATTAGTTACGCGATGATATATCCGTCGGTAAATTAACAATTAATTATCGACGGATATATCCGTCGATAAAATTATATAATAATTACTTAATTTTAAAAATATTTTAATAAATTAATTATTCACGTAATTAAAAAATTAAATATTTTTTATTTAATAATTTAATGTAATCATAATTAGATTAATTA